CTATGCCTGTGGCCATCACTGCATCTTCTGGGAACGAAGTCTACATTTTGAACGTCTACCTATCAAGGTTAATGTTTACCTGTCAAGGCTATCTACATGTTGTTGTTGTTTTTTTTAAAGTACCCGAAGGTACACTTTTATTATTTTTTCATTATACACTACAAACATACATGAAAACAAACAACGCATAACTACCACTAACAAACATAAAACATATAACAGGAGGCTTATTCTAAATTCTGTTCTTCATTATCTATTTTACTAGCTTATCTTTTCTGCGTACTCAAATTTCCATCAAGTTATTACACTTATATTATACCAGTCATAAAATCTCTTCCAAGTTTTTTGAAAAGTCCATTGTGTTCCAGCTCTCATCTCCAATGTCAATTTATCATTCTCAGCCGTTTCAAACAGCTTATTCACATATTCTTGTTTTGTTGAGATCTCCATTGTTTTCCAATATTTACCATATAGAATCCTTGAAGCTGTCGACAAGTGAACAATCAAATACCTATCCGCTTTATCAAAATCTTTCGGAAATATATTCAATAACAATATCTCTGGAGTAAATGGGACCTTAGTTCTTATTATTTTTTGCATTATTTCATGTACCCATTTCCAACACCTCAGTTATTTTATTATTAAATCCTATCCTCTTGTCCTTTAGATATATCGATTCCAGTTGTGCTTTCCTCCACCAGGATAAATGTTCTGGTAATTTAAGGTTATCTTTTTTGTCCAAAATGTCCTGGTATCTTAACGATTCTTCTCCTGCGTAAACATTTGGTAAAGTAAACGCCTCTAAAAGTATTATTAATCTTGATCTTTTGGTATAAAAGTTTTTGTGTATAGAGTCCCAGACCTCTTATAGAAGCGTACCTGTACCTCTTGTGAAACTTTCATCCGCCTTGCATAAGCTGAATTCATTCTATATACTTGGTCAAACTCTTTTTCCACATCCTCTTTTTCCATGTTCATATGGTCTGCCAGCATCTTGGCCATCTTTCCTGAAATATCTTAATCTTTTTCTTCTGGGATGTTCTGAAATCTTAACACATATGCCGCTTTCTCCACCTGTAGTCGTATTAGTTCTTGCTCATATTCTCTTTGTTTATCTTCCATCTTTCTTGTATCCTCTTCCACTGCTTTGGTCCTCTTAATCCGTCCTCTCATTGTTTTTCTTCAACTCTGCTATTTCTTTTGAGTTTTCAGCCACCTGTTTCTGAATACTTTGCATACTATTCGTAAATTGTTCTGTTATTTGTGTGATTTGGCATAATATTTCTCCCATTTGGCCTTTGAGTGGATCGACTGCTTCTGCCACCATACTGTGCATTTCTTTCTGAACAGGTGCTGCTAATTTGCTGACAGTCACTCCCTCCGTCCCAGGTGATGACTGCAGGGTTTTGGTGGTCTGAACAGTCTTAACATTCAACATTTTGCTGTTTTTATTTTTTTCCCCTTGGGCTTTGTACCAGTTCCCAGACAGTTTCACTGTTGCCGCTTTTGTTTATTATTTTGCTGTCAGTCTGGCTTTCTTCCCAGAGTCCCAGGGCTCTTTTTGTAGCAGGCCCCCTTGGGCTTTGTACCAGTTCCCAGACGGTTTCACTGTTGCCACTTTTGTTTATTATTTTGCTGTCAGTCTGACTTTCTTCCCAGACCTGTGACCAGGGCTCTTTTTGTAGCAGGAACTCCTTTGCATATTAGGTGACACACCCCTAATGTAGCCAATCCTCCAAGAGCTTACAGTAGCGCCTGTAAGAAGAGCTCTGTAAGCTCTTGGAGGATTGGCTACATTAGGGGGGGTGTCGCCTAATATGCAAAGGAGCTCCTGTTACGAAAAGAGCCCTATCTCTATATTTGGTTTAAGCCCAATTCTGGATCACTGCCCAGTGCTGGAAAGTCGCCAATGTCCCTTGGCTGAACGCCTAGACCTTTGTTTTTATTTTCTCAAGGTCACTGCCTTTTCCAGCATTTAAATACACAGCCTCACTCCAACTGGGGGGAGGGAGTCTAATTTATAGCCATCAATAGTCAATAGTCAATAGTAGGCGATTTTAAACATAGCAGATGCTTTTATTCTTTCTCAGTCCAGTGCTTTCACCCTACAAATTGTAATGGGCCTCCTGCCCCCCTCCTGAGGGAGGGAAAAATTGAGATCGAGGTAACAGTGGGGACTTACTATTTCTTTAACCACAAACAAGTCTTAAAATAATTCAGCTGCCAAAACTCCATTCACGTCGCTGTCAATTTCTGCTTGCTCTTCTATTATATGCCTATTGGTATTTTGCCCTGCTCATTCCCCTCTACTCTGCCAAAAAGCTGCTGGCATTTGGGATGTTCTCCCTCGTTTTTTGGCCAGTTGAATAGAAATGGGGAGAAATTCCAGTCTGTTGAGGGGCTACCAATAGCGACAATCTTTGCTTTGAGAACACAGATCTATTTCATTAACTCACAGTTATGTGCTTGGCTCGATCTTCGCTTGGCAGCCTCCCAGTCCACGGTAGCGACAGCTCTACCCACCTCCGTGGGTTTCTTCCTCCGGTTTGCTTCGGAGCGAGCCAAATAGGTCTCCCAGCAAGTTGCTCTCTCCCTGGTACCTAAGCTCAAGCCCCCTGCCCCCACTGCTCCTGCCCCGGAGCGTGGGGTGGTCTCCGATGATCAGAGACCCTTTAAATCCGAAGGAAAGATCAATCACTCGGAGCTCGGCTCTCGAGCGACCACTGGTGCCACGCTGCAGCCGCGTCTCCTTTGCTATCTACATGTTTGTTCACTGTTGTTTGTTTCTCAAAGAAGTCCAAAAGGTTGATGAGGCAGGACTTCCTTTTCCAGAAGCCATGCTGACCTCCCTTCAGTGGGCTTTGTTCTTCTATATGCCTAATAATTCTGTATTGACTACAGTTTCTATTAATTTTCCTTGGACAGATGTTAGGCTAAGTGCCCTGTAATTTCCTGGTTCCTTTGGACCACTTTTTAAAAATTGATGTAACATTTATTTGCTACTCTCCAGTCCTCTGGTACAGTGACTCATTTAGTGATGAGTTATATATATCAATAATGTAACATTTTAGCTACCTGAGATTCCTCAGGTGTGTACCATTTGGACCTGGAGACTTATTGGTTTGTAATTTCCTTCCCTTACAGGTCTAGAACATCTTTCATAACCTTAATCTGACTCAGTTCTTTAGACTTTCTCTCAGAAAATAGTGGCTCTGGCCTGGGTACATACGCCACACTTTCTACAGTGAATGCAGATGCAAAGAATTCATTAGGTTTTCTGCCATCTCCCTATCTTCTGTTAGCATTTCTTTTATTATTTGGTCATCCAATGGCCCAACTGTTTCTTTGGCCAGTGCAGCACTCTGATCCTCAAAATTCTCTTTTTACTCACATAATCATTAACTGACTAACTTACACTTCCTTTGCCAGACCCTGTGCTCCCTTCTCTTAACTTCATTGGAGCAGACCTACAATATTAATGATCCAAGTCAAGCCATCAAAGGCAAGAAAGGCTTCTTTTAAAAAAGTGAAGGTCTGCCCCAATGAAGTGAACAGAAGGGAGCACAGGGTCTGGCAAAAGAATTGTTAAGTTAGTAAGAGCAGTGAATTTCTAAAAGCATCAAGACAAACAATAAGCATTTTCTTCAAATATATGATACAAAAATCAAGCTTTTAAATTGTACCAAAAACTCATCAAGCTGTTGCCAGGCAAACAGCTGTTTGGGAGGCTTTAAGTTTGGAAGCCACAACACAGAAGACCACATATCTTAATTCAGGAGAATGCAAAAGTACACAGAACAAGAGACCAGAGAGGACCTCAATGTGACGATGAGAACTTCATTCCCTCCCCCACTCCAGCTACTGCTACAAGTGAAGAAAATGTGCTTTTTGTTAAGGGTACAAAATTGTGGAGAAACATAACAGCACTCCAGTAGTTGGAAGGAATTTCTACTTGGACATTAACTGAGCAATTCAGAACCATGAAGCAACAGAGGCAGAGACAACAGGACAGAGCAGCTTGCTATGCCTCTCCAGCTAACAACCTTTCCTGCTATCAGGTGAGAAAGCTATGAGCAAACACGTCAGTTTAAAAAGGAGATCCTTCCCCACTTTTCTACTGTACCTGCAAGGAGGTGACCAATTAATAGTAATGTGAAAACTGGTATAATTGATTTGCACAGTGTACAAATTAGGCTACCTGGATTTGGGCAATTGGAGTATAGCAACTATAACTCTAGTGTTTCAAGTGGAAAGTTCAAGAGAATGGCAAACCTTATGTTTTTATCAGGTACATTTAAAAAAGTGAATTTATACCAGATGTATTTCAGAACAATACAAGCATCAGGGAGACAGGATGTTTGTAACTCCCAATTCACATTAATGGGAAACACACATTTGCCAGCACATAGTGCATGATTAATGCAGGGACCAGATCTCTTAAAGATTACTCTAAACTACTACAAAGACTTTGGTAAAGGTCAAATTATGGTCTTACCTTCTGGCCAGCAATGCACTCATTTCCTCCATTAATCCACTTCCTCCTAGGGGCAATGGCCCATTTCCACGCCCAGTATCTGTTTTAGGTGAAGCAGAGCTTGTTCCTCCACTTTGATTAGGAGACTCTTCATTCTGAAATTGACAATGCACAGAAGTAAAATCATATGGGAATTATACTGTCAGAAGGTATTTACTTATATATAAGGAAATCCTGCATGTATTTGAAAGTCCAGATAATCTGTAAAACAGGGGTATCAAGCAGGTGGCCTGGGGGCCGAATTAGGCCCCGGGAGGGCTTCTATCAGGCCCACAGTAGAACTGGCTGTCTTCTGCTTCTTCTTCCAGTTTTGCTGCTGCTGCATCATTGTAGGTTTGCAGCTTACAGATACACATCTGAACAGCATACTCAAGATTGCAACAGCACAGAAATTTTGATGCAATAATTCAGAGCAAGAGGTGTCAGTTATCAGACAATGTTAAATAAACAAAATATTGCAAGAGTGCTAATGTTTAAAGCATGTTTTTATTTTAAGTTAAAAAAAACCCTTTGTGTTTGTGTCCTTTATAAAGTTTCTATCTCCGCTACCTGGCATTACATTTTATGACACACATGGCCCGGCCCAACAAGGTCTCATTTATGTCAGATCCGGCCCTCATAACAAATGAGTTCGACACCTCTGCTTTAAAGTGTAGGAATAACAACCCTAGATTTGAATGACCAAAAGTTTAGACAGAGACTGATATTGGCCTATTAGGCATTATGATTAATATTGTTAAAATTCTGTGCAGACATTATATATATATATATACCTGTACTTACCCGAGATACTTTTCTAAGATTGGCTCCTGCAAGAGCAGCTGCAAGTCCTGTTAAAGGGCGGTAATCTTCAGACATCGATCCCATGGAAAAACCAGTGGCAGGCAGAGGAGGGGCAGGAGGTGGAAGAGGAACCTGGTTAGGAAGGGGTGGTGGAGGAGGAGGAGGTGGTGGTGGCGGCGGCGGCCCTGATGGTGGAAGAGGTGGTGGTGGAGGTGGCCCTGGGGGAGGTGGTACAACTGATGGGGACTGAACAGGGCCAGCTGGAAGAGGTGGAGGTGGTGGAGGTACAGGTGGCCCTTGGATAACACCTAATTAAAAAACAAACAGAAAAAGCAAACATAAAAATTGTGACAAGAACTGCATACTATTAGAAAAAAAGTTATATACCTTCACAGGAACCCTAATTCAATAAGAAATATCTCACCACTACAAAAAAGTATTCCCCAGTATAATGTGTACTTTAAGAGTAACAAGCCAACAATTCACTGAAGAAAATCAGCCCTCATAAGCTTCTCAGTAATAAACAATGTTGGATATTCTGCAGTATTTGAATAACATACAAATAACGTGTGAAAGAAAACAGACTCTCTGAATAATACTTAATGATTATAGCACCAAAATGGTATGTGTCCTAGATGTAAGCTTACAGTGCATATCTATTTTTATCAGATCCTTCTATTTTAGCCAATTTAAGAGAAGACAAAATAATTCAAACAGAACTTCTATATTTACTTAGTTATATCTCACACTTATGCACTTTCTTAGAAGTATTAAAAGCATGTATTAGTGGAGTTAGATTTTAAAATGCTTGTGGAGAAAGCATTTCCCCCCACACCATTCTTTATTAAATGAATTTTAAGCACTGAATAAAGCTTGTCCATGTCCTATAGATAAGAGTTTGGTTTGTGAATACAGGCAGATTTCCATCTCCCTTTGGAGTGTTGGATTACTGCATGACTAACATCAATGGAACAGCTGCAAGTATAAGCTATTACTATCTATTTACTTACTGTCATGTATATACATACATACATATACAACCAAAGCAACAGTATGGGGTTCTGTATATTTTAAATGAATAAATCAGAACTGAGAAAAGCCTGTTTAACAGTAAATATTAATCAACACTAATCTAATTACTATGCTTCTGTCCAATCTTTTTTAAAAAAAAGAATAACAAAACATATTCAGCAAATAGTCAAAGTATTCTTTCAAACATTAAACTTGGCATATGAGAAAAGCACCATCTTCACATTTTCACAATTCCCCCACAGCATACTTGCCAGACATTTGGTGGGGTGGGGTGGGGTGGGGTGGGTATTAAGATCACTGCAACTTCCAAGGTATTAAATCACGTTTTGGATGCAAATTCGTTTTGAGTGCATTCCTGATTAGTTAATTAGTAGCAATAACAGAAAGCCTTACCCTGATGGGACGGAGGTTCAATCGGCTGAGAGGCTGTCTGCAAGACTGGCTCAGAAGCAAAGGAGTCTCCCAGCACAGAGTTTAGAGAGTTCTCAACAGAGGCAGGGGGAGCTGCAGAGGGAGAAGGGAGAACACTAGGCTTGGATGAGGGAGCCGAGGAATTAGGGGAGCTTGGAGAAGCAGCTTGAGGTCCAGAGAGTGAAAGAGGCTGAAAGGAAGGTGGTGGTGGGGTTGGACCTGAGGTAGGTGGTGAAGGAGCTGGATAATTTGCCAATTCTGGAAGCCCATTGGGTGCTGTAGGGGATGGTGACATTTGGGATAAGTGAGCACTAACAGGAATTGGTAAGACAGGCTTTGGGCCTGTAGCTTTACCAGGAGGGCTGCTAATCATTACAGGAGGAGATGGGGGAAGGGGTGCAAAACTAGAAGCAGACCAAGTAGTGGACTTGGTACTTGAAGTAAGAGACACTGGGGGATTCACAGGTGAGGGTGGTCGAGAAGTTTTGTTCAGAGGACGGGGAACTGTGGCATAATGGGGAAGAACAGGGTGGAAGGCGGAACCCAACGATGTAGCAAAACGTGACGCAGAGTGCCTTAGAGGTGGTGTAGGGGGGGAAGAAACTGGCTGTGCAGAAGTCACTACAGCATAATCCGGAGTAGAGTCTGACATTGCTTTAGCATATGATGGAGGAGGTGCTGAAGGAGGCTGGCAGCTGGAGTATTCAGGAAGTGAAGTGCTATACGGGGAGCTGTCGTAAGATGGAGCTGGACAGAAGATGGAAAGCAGCAGCAAAGGCAGGATAAAAGAGGAAAGAGAGAAAAAGGGAGCTAATGAAGCAACAAAACCAGCATTCAAACAAAATTTATAAATGTAGACTATAGTTAGTACCAGAGGATTAGGCACAAGTAAATTACTGTTAGAAGAATTTATTTACTATCAACAGATGCTTTCAGTTTTGTCATATATTTGTTCCAATATTTGGATTTACAAACACATTCCGGAAATGCCAGAAAGTCAGCTACAGAATAAGCTCTCCGGTAATCAGCAAAATTAATCAGTTGGAATCAAGTGTAGTGATCTTAACATTTGTTTTAAGACTAAGAAACAACTTCAATATATAAATAAATATGCCTCATCCTCCATAGAAAGTAGATAACACATTCACATTACAAAGTAGTAATTCCACACGGCACATGAGAGATTAGAAAATTCTTCCTTAAGTGACTTCCTTAGGTAACATTCTGCTTTACAGAGCACTTATTTTTCAACTACTACAACATTAATCAGAAACCGATATACAATACAGAAACTGATCACTTAGGCTGGTAAATAGCCATGTGCATGGCTACCTGTGTCAAGGAAAAACTGTCCTCAGTTGAACAGCCTTGGCCAAGTGTTTTGGATACAGTAAACTAGAAACCATGCCTATTTTTCAGCCTTTAGGGTTTCTTATTTTAATGGCCAAATGTTTTAAATATCGCTACCACAAAAACTAATCCTGACCTCTTCTCAATGTTTTTCATATATGACAAAAAGCATTGTATATGGGGTAATCCAGTTTGTCATCAAAATACAAAGCTGGTATCTCACAAAGATACAAACAAACATTTTTGAAGAACTGCAGAAAGTAGGGCCG